CCCTCACCCATTTACTTGCATGTATCACATTTTCAATAAAAAGGCACGATGATTCCTAGCAGTTGTCACTCTTCAGAGAGCGATCTGAGAGTGTCCGACTGAGGACGTGCACGAAAAAGGCACCGAGGCCTCAGTCTTTCCTTCCTGCACCACCTCCAACGAGTCAACCCACCCCAGCTGAGGCTGGACCCCGGCACTTTCTCACTTGTCTCTTCTCCCTCTCTCTCTGGTGAGCAAGAGTGCCACAAATTACATAATAAGGATAAATTAACTGGGGACCAGCAGTTAGCATAATGGCTATGTTGCTGGATTCCTATGTAGTCGACTGTGGTTTGAGTCCCAGACCCAGTGGCTTAAATTCACTCAGGGCGCGTGCGCGTGCATGCATGCCCAAGATCCCAAGAATGGAGCAGAAGGGATTGCAGCATGGCCATCCCCCCCAGGAGGTGATTTCTCACCTTCTGTCTCTCTGTTTCTCCCTGTCTTTCTGGCAAGCGCGCACACCCTATAGCAAAAACTTAAAAAAAAAAAAAAAAAAAAAAAAAAGGATTAATTAATTAATTATTTTTTTAAAAAGAAAATAGAGGATCTCAGCTGACCTTAACTATCCTTGTGTCAATAACCTATAAAAAAATCTGAGGCAATGAAGAGAATGAGTTATTATTGTTACAAACAAACCGCAATCTACACAACCAAATGGGTATTTTACTTTCCAAAGCAGTCCTCATAGGGGATCTATATATTTATTTTAATCCTAAGGCTAGCGCTTAAAATGGACATGGAACTCCTCTTACAGAATTGCATGTTTTTCCTTTGAACATAGTTTCAAATTTTAGAAATTGCCAGAAGTCATTTGAGGCTAAATCTTATAACTAGTGTGATTTAAAAATAGGACTTCTGGGACCAGCAGATGGCATAGGGTTGAATTGCTGGAATCTCATGTACTTGACCACAGTTCAAGTCTCAGACCTGGCCACTTAAAACTTACACCGGGCACATATGCATGTGTGACCAAAAATCTCAAGACAAAAATGAAGGAGAAGGGATTATGACTTGGCCATCTCCCTCAGGGGGGATTTCTTGCTTTCTATCTCTCTGTCTCTCTAGCAAGCACATGTGCCCTATAGCAAATATCTCTCTTAAAAAAAAAAAAGGAAAAAAGGAAATGCTTTAGTGGGCTAGCAAGTGGCATAGAGGTTAAGGCACTGGATCTCACATGGCCAACTCCACAGTTTGAGTCCCAGACACAGTGGCTTGAAAATCATGCCAGGGGGACCAGCAGTGGGCATAATGGCTATGTTGCTGGACTCCCATGTAGTCAACTACGGTATCCCCACCTCCTTCTAGTTTGTCTTCCTGTACTGCAGAGGGTGGAATGATCATTTGCATGGAGAAAATAAAATAAATAAATAATGCAATCTAGAGGGCCATCAGGTAGTGTAGTGGTTAAGGTGCTGGACTCCCATGTGGTCAACCAAAGTTCAAGTCCTAGACCCGACAGCTTAAATCTCTCGCCAGGTGTGTGTGCATGCATGCCACAAAATCCTGAGAAGAATGGAAGAGGAGGGATTGTGGCATGGCCACCCTCATGAGAATGGTCTCACTTTCTCTCTCTCTTTCTGTTGAGTAAACATGCCTTATCACACACACAAAAAAGAATGAAAAAGAAAAAGATTGTTTTAGTAAGCCCCACCCAACCACTGGGGTAACTGTGATCAGGAAGGGATGAGGTGGAGGCTCTACCAAGTCTCCAGAATTTCACTTCTTTCTCTCTCATCCCCCCTCTCTCTAGTCAAACTTGAAAAATAGTAAGAATTAAAAAATTAAAATAAAAGAATTTTTAAAAATACAATGATTGCCTCCCAGGGAGTCTGAACCCTGAATAAAGAAAGCAGCAAAAGCTGCCAGCCCCACTGTGGACTGCTGTGGTCCCAGGGGACAGAGACATTGTGCATCTAGCATACAACAACATGGTACGAGGAGCATTTTAGTGAGATCAGGCAAATCTTGGTCCGACATGCTGGTGCAAACCCACACAGGCCAGAGAGCGTCCATAGAGCTGTCTGGTCTCCTCAGTTCTGTGGTTTAATACAGGCTACCCTGCCCCACAGAGCATCTGGGAAGAAGATGTAGGACAGCGACCATATCAGGCAGTAAAAAGCAGTTAGAGAAAAAGGGGAGACAAACAGCATGATGACACCTGGAAGAAGAAAAAACGCAGACCCTCAATTTCCATGAGACTGTCTTGTATGTGCTTTCTACTCTCTACCCTCCCATCCCCCTTCTCCATCCTTCACTCATTTTTCACTCAGAATGATTAAGAAAAAAAAAAAAGAGAGAGAGACAAGAGCCCTGTCTCTAAGTTCAGTTTAATAGATGCACATAAGTAACTAGATAATTAGACCCAAATGCAATCTCAGGTTCCATTTTGTCAGATCAGAAATCAGTTCCAGTCAAGAGTAAATTTGGACCAGCAGTTGGCATAATGGCTATGTCGCTGGACTCCCACATAGTCGACCGCGGTTCGAGTCCTGGACCTGGTGGCTTAAACTCATGCCCAGAGCATGTGTGTGCATGCCCAAGATCCTGAGAGGAGAATGGAGGAGAAGGAATTGCAGTGTGGCCATTTCCCCTGGAGGAGGTGATTTCTCTGTCTCTCTGTCTCTGTCTCTCTGTCTCTCTGTCTCTGTCTTTCTGGTGAGTGCATGCACCCTATAGCAAAAACCTCTCAAAAAAAAAAAAAATAGTTGTCTGGAAAGTATGTGACCTGTGGTCTCAATAGCCATAGGCCTCCTTCTCAGGTGTCCAGAGATCTATGTGGGAGAAGGGATCTCATCTCGGATTGGCTGTAGTATAGGCAGGAGGAAGAACTGCAGCTATTTGGAAATGTACTCGATGGGGCTCTTGTATTAGCTGGTGTAAAATCTGTGAGGGACAGCTTTTGCCTTTATTTGCACGTTAAAGATGATGCGAAGAAGGCGAAAGTTGAGTGTATGATTTACTTTGAGAAGAGGGGGTCATAGTATCTTCAGGAACAAAGAGGGATGGTTGCCATTTGGTAAGCAGAGGGGAGGTGGACGAGAAGGGGCTAGACACTGGCGTTTCTAGTACACATCTGTTAGAGGATTTATACTAAAGGATTATCTCCTCTAGTCTCAGGAATCCCACAAAGTAGGGATTATTGCCTTGGGTTTATAGATGAGGGAAATGGAGCTCACAACAATGAGGTATTAGTCCAAGTTCATACAACTAATCAGGTGCCAGAGTCAGAACTTGAACTCAGATCTGTTCCGCTCGGAGCCCAGTGTCTTCTTGCCACCATTCTGCCTGTGCCATTAAGGGCCTGGGAGGAGCTAGCACCTGGCGCTTGGACGGGATTGTTAGTGCTGATGTCGAGAAAGGTGTGAACTGAAGGACAGGTCGGACGGACTGGCGGACCTTGCACACCACAGCGGACTCACAAGAGAGTACTGGAAGAAGCTTAGTCTCCCGCAGATGTTTGTCTTGTTTACACGGGCAAATGAGAAGAAAGCGGGAACAGGGAGACATCTGCCAGGGTTCCAGTGTGACAAGGACCTCAGGGTTTGGAACCCAGTGCTCAGAGCTCAGTCCCAAAGCCTGGGGGTCATCCATGACTCCTCTTCTTCCTCACTATCAAGTCAAACCCCACCATTTTTTTTTTAAAGAGCATATACACTCACCAGAGACAGAGAGAGAAAGGGAAAAAAAAAAAAAAAACGCCTCCCAGGGAGGATGGCAACACCACAATCCCTTCTCCTCCATTCTTCTCTCAGGATTTTGGGCATGCATGCATATTTGCCCAGCATGTTTTTCAAGCTGGTAGGTCCAAGACTCCAACTGTGCAGTTGGCCATGTGGGATCCAGCTGCCTTAAGCACAGCGGCACCTGGCTGGCCCTATTTATCTTAAATCCAATCTGGAATGGCCTGAAAGCAGGACAAGAATCCTCCTGGTGGTGACATTTAATAAGATGAGGACTCTCCATCTCCACTGCCATCATCACTTCATGTGAGCAAAGTCGGTTTTTCTATTTTCCTCCTCAGTCCTCTGTAGTTTATTTTCCACACCACAAAGTGACCATCGAAATCGGCCACTCCAAGTCAGATCACTTCCCTCGTAGTCCCTCAGAGAATTCTCATTTGCCTTCAGGATGAAGCCCCAGACCCTGCCCAGTCTGCCTCTCGGCAAGTTCCCACCACGTGGCTCCACGGAATCAAGCACCATCTGGGCTCAGAGCTTACAAAACACCATTTTCTCTACCCAAACCACGCCCTCCTATACATGGCCGCTCACTTCGCAGGACTTATTTCAATGTCACCACCACAAGCATTCTTGTCCCGTCTTCAGGCCATCCCAGTCTAAATCAGCTCCCCCAGCACCCTTGTACTTTCACAACACATCAAAACGTATTCTCACCATGATCTGTTTCGTGCCTGTCTCCCCCATCGGACTGCTGGTCTATCATGCCAGTTTGTCTCCCAGTACTGGTGCATGGTGGATGTCCCTTAATTTCTACTGAGTTCACTAACACTCTACAAATATTTTTGAACATCTACCATAGGACAGGCACAATTCTAGGCACTGGGGCTTATACCATAAATAAAAGAGAGTCCTCTATTGTGGGCAGGTTCGATGTTTACAGACCGTTAAAATACTAAGAAATGCCTATTATATCAGATGATGAAAAATCCTATGGGGAAGAAGAAAGCAGGGTGAAGGAGATAGGGGGTGCTGGGGTGAGCTACGGGGGCAGGTAACGAGTGGCAGTGATCATAAGCTAACTGCCAATGCCGTTCGAGAGAAGGGTTTTCACTCACCTCCCAGGTAGACCATCTTTTTCCAGTTCTCAGACTCCAGGATTTTGTCATGGGGGTAGTAGCTCTGGTCCATCATAAACAGAATCATGAGTGAGGCCATGCAGCAGAGAATGAACGTGTTGCCTTTGGTCAGAAGGGAGGTGGAGGCCAGAACACAGGAAGCATAGGGGCAGGGTAGGCCCTTGTATGTGAGAGGAACTCCTGCCGGGGGCAAAAAACAAAACATGGGGTAAGCTGCTGCCCCTCCTCTGAAGGGATCTAACTCTAGGAAGACTCACTCCCCTTCCCAGGCTACAAAAGTTCCTTAAGCCCAGGGCAGTGGCAGGCTGTCAATCATTTATCTATGCACCAAAGGAGATACTGACTGGGTGTTTTTGCTTGCTTGTTTGTTTTTTAAGGTTTTGTCCAGCATGATTTTCAAGCTACTGGGCTCAGGACTCGAACAGCCATCTGCCATGTGGGGGTTCAGTGCCTTAACCACCATGCCATCTGCTGGCCCCTCCTGCCTGGGTTTTACATTCTAATGGAAAGCAAGGAGTCTGGTAGGATTGAGCCTGTGCCCTGAGCCCAAGGAAGCCTCTGCTGAAAGGGACCTTCGGGAATGCTTCTTCTAAGGCCTGTGCTGGATCTGCATTCCCTGGCTTTGTGACCTCAGGCAAGACAGTTACTTCCCTTGGCCAGAGCATGGTTTCTCCATCCATCCAGGGGACTTGACTACAACTGCCAGTTCTAAAGTCCGTGAAGCCACAGGCTCCATCCAAAAGTCACATGGCAAGAAAGAGGCAGAGTTGCCAAGAGATAAGGTCCCCTCCCCTCCTCCCAGACCAGGGCTCTGCCAGTGGTCTGCAGCCTCCAGTAGATAGGGGCATGGGGAAGGGAGGAAAAGGGACAGTTACTGAACCCAGGCTTCTGGCATCTGACAGCTGCCCCCTGAGATCCCCTGCCCTCAGTCCTAAGGCAACGTGGGTTTTACTCACCAGTTGAATAAAAACACAGGCGGAAAGTTGCAGCTAAAACATAGATGATGGCCAGGAACCCATTGAGAGGCCCATCCACGCCTAGGAGCAGGGCTGAGGCCAGGCCAAAGGTGGTGAAGACGGCAAAGTCATTCAGCTCGGCTCCTGTTCCAGAGGGCCTGAGGTTAGAATTTACACTGCTGGGACCAGCAGATGGTGTAATGGCTATGTCACTGGACTCCCATGTAGTCAACCACGGTTCGAGACCCTGACCCGGTGGCTTAAACTCATGCCAGGCACGGGTGCATGTGTGCCCAAGATCCCGAGATGAGAATAGTAGCTCTGGTCCATCATAAACAGAATCATGAGTGAGGCCATGCAGCAGAGAATGAACGTGTTGCCTTTGGTCAGAAGGGAGGTGGAGGCCAGAACACAGGAAGCATAGGGGCAGGGTAGGCCCTTGTATGTGAGAGGAACTCCTGCCGGGGGCAAAAAACAAAACATGGGGTAAGCTGCTGCCCCTCCTCTGAAGGGATCTAACTCTAGGAAGACTCACTCCCCTTCCCAGGCTACAAAAGTTCCTTAAGCCCAGGGCAGTGGCAGGCTGTCAATCATTTATCTATGCACCAAAGGAGATACTGACTGGGTGTTTTTGCTTGCTTGTTTGTTTTTTAAGGTTTTGTCCAGCATGATTTTCAAGCTACTGGGCTCAGGACTCGAACAGCCATCTGCCATGTGGGGGTTCAGTGCCTTAACCACCATGCCATCTGCTGGCCCCTCCTGCCTGGGTTTTACATTCTAATGGAAAGCAAGGAGTCTGGTAGGATTGAGCCTGTGCCCTGAGCCCAAGGAAGCCTCTGCTGAAAGGGACCTTCGGGAATGCTTCTTCTAAGGCCTGTGCTGGATCTGCATTCCCTGGCTTTGTGACCTCAGGCAAGACAGTTACTTCCCTTGGCCAGAGCATGGTTTCTCCATCCATCCAGGGGACTTGACTACAACTGCCAGTTCTAAAGTCCGTGAAGCCACAGGCTCCATCCAAAAGTCACATGGCAAGAAAGAGGCAGAGTTGCCAAGAGATAAGGTCCCCTCCCCTCCTCCCAGACCAGGGCTCTGCCAGTGGTCTGCAGCCTCCAGTAGATAGGGGCATGGGGAAGGGAGGAAAAGGGACAGTTACTGAACCCAGGCTTCTGGCATCTGACAGCTGCCCCCTGAGATCCCCTGCCCTCAGTCCTAAGGCAACGTGGGTTTTACTCACCAGTTGAATAAAAACACAGGCGGAAAGTTGCAGCTAAAACATAGATGATGGCCAGGAACCCATTGAGAGGCCCATCCACGCCTAGGAGCAGGGCTGAGGCCAGGCCAAAGGTGGTGAAGACGGCAAAGTCATTCAGCTCGGCTCCTGTTCCAGAGGGCCTGAGGTTAGAATTTACACTGCTGGGACCAGCAGATGGTGTAATGGCTATGTCACTGGACTCCCATGTAGTCAACCACGGTTCGAGACCCTGACCCGGTGGCTTAAACTCATGCCAGGCACGGGTGCATGTGTGCCCAAGATCCCGAGATGAGAATGGAGAAGAAGGGATTACAGTGCGGCCATTCCTCGCTTTCTGTCTCTGGTGAGCACACACATCCTATAGCAAAAACTTCTCAAAAAAAAAAAAAGAATTTACACTCCTGTGTCCTGTGTCTTGGGCCTTGGCTCCTGTGGAAAGGGGGATGAGGCATGACAAGCAGGGTCCTGAGGTCCCAGAAGGCAACAGCTGCTCCACCAGGGTAATCTGTAGGTCAGAGACTGAGGCCTTGTCCTGCTCTGGCCTAGACTAACCATGCGGCCACAGGGAAGTCTTTCCTAATCCAGGTCCTAATGTTCCCTCCCTTAACATGTGAGGGTTAGAGTATAATTGGACACAACTGATAAGCTGTGGAGCCCTTTTTTCAAACTCTTACATGGACACGTTTTACTGTATTTAAAACTAATTACTCTGATTGATCTCCCTTTCCAGCCCCCTCCCCCCTCAATTCCCACCACCATGCTACTCCAGTGCCTGGATCAGCCCTGGACAGGGAGGTAGGGAGATAAGGAAACCGAAAGCCAGGACGAGGCCACAGAAAAGTGAGCCCACAGAGGAGCCAGGTGTAGACTGTGGGGCTCCCTAACTCTTCTCCAGAGCTGCTTCTGTTATTCTCAGGGGGATGTGACCAGGAATGTGTGGGCGCTGCCGGAAGTTAGAGGATGGAGGCGGTGACCTGAGGTGAATGCACCCGGGGACAGGGATTAGGGCCTGAGGCTTGGACTCACCCAACTTGGAGCAGGTGTGGAGGTGTCTAGTCATCGCCCCGATGGCCATGTCTAATAGGAAGCTGATCAGAAGCATCCAGGAGGCACAGAGGGGTTTCCTAAAGTGCAGGGCAGCAGGCCTGAACAGTGCAGATCTTTAAGAGGCTCATGGGCCAACCATCCCATCGCCCTCCTTACACTGCTACACTCCTACACTTGTACACACACGCCCTGGCACGCGACCTCCCTCACCTCCTCATTCATGCCTAATGGCTTCCATACACCCAACCCACAGTCTTACAGGCGTGTACCAACCCCTCTAGGTCATCACAGAGGTCCTTCCAACTCGAAATTCCAGATGTGTTTGATGCCCCGGGGGTCCCAGGACCTAGCCTGGCCTCTGCCACCATCTCACTGACTTCTCAGAGAACTACCATCCCCCCTCTAGGCCTCTGTTCCCCCATCTGTAAAGAGTTTGTGTTAAATTATCCCCTTCACGGATATAAACCTGTTCAGATGAATCGACTCATTTCACCTAGGCTGTCGAGTTTGTGAGCAGCGGGTATTCTTTTATTAATCATTTTATGTCCGGGAATATGTAGGGACGGCCCCTCTCTCACTTCTAATACTGATCATTTGTATCTTTTCTCTTTTTTTGCTTAGTTAGCCTGGCTAGAGGTGTATCAGTCTTTTCAAAATATCAGCTTTCGGTTTATTGATTTTTCTGTTAGTTTTTGTTTTCAACTTCTTTGATTGTTGCTCTAAGTTTTATTATTCCTTTCTTTCCACTCACTTTGGGTTTCGTTTGCTCCTTTTTCTGGTTTCCCAAGATGAAAGCCTAGATAATTGATTTTAGATTTTTTTTTTAATAAATGCTTTGAATACTATAAATTTCCCTCTAAGCAGTGCTTTCCCCACATCTTTACAAATTGTGATGTGTTATATTTTCATTTTCCCTTAGTTAAAACTACTTTTTAATGTCTTTTGAGACTGTTCCAGTTCATTCCATTGCTAATAATAGGAAACACCCGAGTCTGGGTGATTTAAGAGAAGAGGCTATAGCCACAGGTGGCATGGTGGTTGAGGTGCTGGAAACTCCCATATGACTGACCACAGTTCAAGTCCTGGACCTGGTGGCTTACTTTCTCACTTTCTCTCTCTCTCTCTCTCTCTCTCTGTGTCTCTCTCTAGTCAAATTAAAATAAATGAATGAATAAATAAAATTAAATAAATAAATCTTTAAAAAAGAGAAAGAGAGAACAGAAGTTTATTCATCCCCAGTTTGGAGGTGTGAGGTGCAAGGTCCAGGGGCTACCTCTCCTGGCCACATCACAACGTGGCAGATGGCAGAAGACTGCGGTCTGTGCTCTGTGTTGTCTCCTCGGATCTCATTCCTTCTTGTAAATGCACTGAGAGTCTGCCCTAGGGGCCCCTCCCTAGTCATTCCTAAATCCCGCCTTTCAATACCACCATGAAGGTATTAAGCTTCCTCTCAGTACCTTCACAACCAAATCACAATACACAAATTTTAGGGGGACACAAACCATAGGAGACTCTTCCTTTATTCACGTGTGTTGTTTAATCTCCAGATATGTCAGGATTTTTCCATTATTGATCTCTAGTTTAATTCCATGTGGTCTCAGAGTGTACTTTGTATGATTTCTATTCTTTTAAATTTACTAAGGTAGGGCCGGCAGGTGGTGTGGTGGTTGAGGGTGCTGGATTCCCACATGGCTGACCATGGTTCAAGTCCCGGACCTGGTGGCTTGCTTTCTCACTTTCCTTCTTTCTCTCTCTCTCACTCTGTCTCTCTCTGGACAAAATTAAAAAGAAAGAAAGAAAGAAAAAGAAATAAAGTTAAATAAAATAATTCTTTTAAAAAGTTAATAAAAGTTAAATAGTTTTAAAATATAAATTTACTAAGGTATGTTTTCTTAGTGACTGTTCCAAGTGAACTTGAGAAGACTGTACTCCGCTGCCACTGGATGAAGTGGTTTATAGATGGCCAGTGTATTCAATTGACTGTTGGTGCTGTTGAGTTCAACTATCCTGATTGTATTGGCTTTTTGTGTTTTTGTTTTTGTTTTTGTTTTAAGTGTGTGTGTGTGTGTGTGTGTGTGTGTTGTTGTTGTGGTGGTGGTTGTTGTCTTTGTTTTTGTCCTTACTAATTTCCTTTTTCTTTTCTTTTCTTTTCTTTTTTTTTTTTTTTTTTGGAGATTTTTGCTATAGGGCATGTGCACTCGCCAGAAAAACAGAGACAGAGAGACAGAAAGTGAGAACTCACCCCCCGGGGGATGGCCACACTGCAATCCCTTCTCCTCCATTTTCCTCTCGTGATCTTGGGTATACATGCACACACTCCTGGTGTGAGTTTAAGCCACTGAGTCCAGGACTCGAACCGTGGTCGACTACATGGGACTCCAGCAACAGCCATTACGCCAACTGCTGGTTCCTGTCCTTACTAATTTTCTGCCTGCTGGATCTGCCAATTACTGGAGTTAAAATCTTCAACTGACAGTGGGTTCGTCGATTTCTCCTTGCAGTTCTTTTGGTTTTTGAATTGTATGTTTTGATGCTGTAAATGATTTCCAAGAGCTCTTTCAGATTCCACACTGTTGGAGTCTGTGCCTCTGTCCAACCACCTCCCACATCCCTCTGAAAGCAGCCGTGCAGTCCCAAGCAAACCTGCCCTAGGAGGACCAGTCCCAAGTCTGCATCCTAACTGCAATGCTTGGGGGCCCAGCAGGAGCAGAGAGCCCAACCCCAGACCTCAGCTGTCTTAAACTACAGGATTTCCTTTGTTTACCCTCAGGCCTAGCATCTAAAGGGGACTGGGGCTGAATAAAAGTACTGGGCCCACAGCATGACATAAAAACCACACTGCCAGGACCAGCAGTTGGCGCAATGGTTATGTCGCTGGACTCCCACGCAGTTGACCGCAGTTTGAGTTCTGGACCCAGTGCGTGCCTAAAATCCCGAGAGGAGAATGGAGGAGAAGGGAATGCTGCATGGCCATCCTCCCTGGGGAGTGATTTCTTGCTTTCTGTCTGTCTCTCTCTGTCTTTTTGGCAAGCGCACGC